GTACATTAAAGATGGAGGAACAAAGTCATGAGTCAAAGGTGCAGGTGCCTCTAGAAGCTGGAAAAGCCAAGAATACAGATTCTTCCTCTATGGCTTCACTTTGATTTTAGACTTTTGACCTTCAGAGCTGTAAGGAAATAAATTTGTATTGTTTCAAGCCATTTGTTGTAGCAACAGTGAAAAATGAATACACAGGGTCCATGGGTTTCCATGCTGTAAGGTTTCTTGAAGTGAAATACACTCATGGTGCTTACATGAGTCTGTTTTATCACCGCTAAGCTGATCCTTAAGTCTTCAGCACAAGATATAAGAAATGAAAAAAAAAAATGGAGTTTCATATGCTCAAAATATTGAGACAGTCTGTTCCTGAAATATAGGCTGACATAAGGACTAAAAAATCTATCCCTTGGTGGGCAAACATCTACTGAACAGAATTAGCAGAACTAGTTGTAAATAATATCTGGGCGGGGCACTTCTGTAAAAGGGTCATGAATTAGATATGAATGCTGGTATAAGAGAATATTTATGTTTCTGATGCAGAAGCTCTTGTGATATTCCCATGTGTACTGATAGAAAATTGAGGAAAGTCTGTTATTTAATTCTTTTTCTTTGGAGACCCTGAACCTTGTCATTTAAAAAAAAAAATCCTATCTATAGTGCTTTTTCTTGCTTTATCCTCTTTTACTGGCATGTATAGTTGGATTTCTTCTTCCCTTTTACCTTTTCTCTAAAGGAGTGTTAGGCTCCTGGGTAAATCTACAGAAGTCAGACAAGGGCTAGGAGTGCTGTTTCTGAATGGAATGTTGGGAAGGGGTGGAATCTATGGGAACAAAGAGAACAAGCTGACCGTAACAATTTTGAGTGCTGGCAAGAAAGATCAATATTTATATCCATGCATCCTGGAACAGTTCTGTCCTTAAATGCTTGACAAATAATGACTCCAAAGAAATAGTAGAGGAAACTGCTTTGCATGTAATATTGGGGATGTATCCTAAAGACTCACTCATTGTTCTCTGAGAACATTCCATATGTTTCTTCTTCTCCTCCATGGATGCTGAGTGTTATTTTTCCTCAAGGTCGCGGTGGGATGCAAAGTTTTCTTTGTCTTGAGAAAAGACAACTTTGCTGCTCTTTTACCTCTATAGAGATTCCCAAGTAGCTATTTAGTCTCATCTCCAATGACATTTGCTAGGTAGGCAGCAGAACCATTCCAGGGGAATATCTATTTGACGCTATTGCTGAGATCAGCTCAAAATAACAATGACAGTGGCTAGTATTTATTGAATACTTATAATGTGCCAAACATTACCTTCTTGAGTTTTAAAGTTACCCTCTGAGATGTGCATATTATGATCCTCATTTTGTAAATGAGGAAACTAAGACTTGGAAAGGTAATTTTCTCACACTCTCACAGGAAGCCAATGGTAAGAGCCCCAATGAAACCTATATAATCTTGGAGTTTGTGTCCTAGTTCACAATGCTAAATGGTCTCCTCCAGCATAATTAACATCAACACACACTCTTAGAATGCCTGCTTTGGAACATCTACGGTCTGTGGCCCTTCTAGATGCCTTTACTTGGTGCTTTCCCTGTTAATAGATCCTTTAAGCTTATTAGATCAAAGCTTCCAGACATTTTAACTAATGTCATGAGTGAAGTTGTTAGCTGGAGAGTGTGATGCTCAACTGGAGGCCTGAGTGTAGGCTGCACTCCCCATCCTGACTAGCACTCTAGAAACTGGGATTCGGTGACCATCCCGACAGAGGCTGGACCTCCATTTTGGGGATTTCCTTTTTTTCTTTTATTTTTGAGAGTTTTTTGCTATAGGGCACTTGCACTCACCAGAAGGACAGAGAAAGACAGAAAGACAGAGATAGAGAGCGATAAATCACCCCCCAGGGGGTTGACCACACCACAATCTCTTCTCCTCCATTCTCCTCTTGGGATCTTGGGCATGCACGCACAAGCACTCATTGTGAGTTTAAGCCACTGGGTCTGGGACTCAAACCACGGTCGACTACATGGGAGTTCAGCGACATAGCCATTACGCTAACTGCTGGTCCCAAGGATTTCCCTTTTTTCAAAGCAGTGTATTCTCTTATAGTATGGGAATAGATATTTAAATTTTATGATATGTTTAATTCTCTTGAGATTAATATATGAAATATAGGTCACTGCTTGGGAAATAATAGAATTTCAGCCATTGAGATAAGGATAGGAGGATGTGGAGGGCTTCCAAACAATTCTGAGATGATCTTACCTGAGGAATTTTTCCTTATCTGGTAGTGGAAACCTAAAACTCCCTCTCATAATCTACCTGTACTTGTTGCTAGTTATTAGATTCTAAATACAACATCACCTCAGGAATGGAAAGAAGAATAAGGAAGAGAATATTTTTTTTCCTAAAATACTGTACAAATTTATTATCATGTATTCATTCATTCCATATTTAGTAGGTGAGTGCTAACTGCTAGATACTGTAGATACAGTAGGAAACATTCAATAGATGTCTTATCTGCCCTTGTAAAAATTACAGTCTACTGAGAACAGGGGACAAAGCCATTATTTGACTAATTATACAAAAATTACAAATACATAATAGCACCAAAGCACTACAAGGAGAAAAACAAATAGGGACAAGCAGATGGCATAATGGCTAGGTCACTGGACTCCCATGTAGTCGACCGTGGTTCGAGTCCCGGACCCGGTGCTTTAAACTCCCTCTGGGCGCATGTGTGTGTGTGTACCCAAGATCCCGAGAGGAGAATGGAGGAGGGATTGCAGCATGGCCATTTCCCCCACACCCAGGGGGTTGATTTCTAGCTTTCTATCTCTCTGTCTCTCTCTGTTTTTCCAGGGAGGGCATGTGCCCTATAGCAAAAACCTCTCCAAGAAAAAAAAAAATGTAAAATGAATGAAATCTGAGAACATGTAAGGAACTTGCCCATATCAGGGAGGGGAAGGAGGCCTGCCTAAGTTAGTGAGGCTTTGTGATGCATATTATTTGACATAAACTGAGTCAAAAAGTTAGGTAAGAATGATTGAGTAGAGTGAAGACCATGTTCAAAGGCCCTGTGGCCTGCAGAAGTGCGAAACTGGAAGGTCTGAAAGAAGTCTGGGGGCTGGAGTGGAAAAGACAAAGGCAAGAGCAACACAAGACGAATATGGGGAGCTAGACATGTGGGTCCCAGAAGGACCAGGACTCACGTGCCCCAGTAGGAATGGTCTCTTGTTTTTTCATTGCCAGAGGGTGCAGGTGCTCACCAGAGAGACAACATGATCACACCACAATCCTTTTCCCTCTGTTTCTCCATCACAGCACACACATGTACACACACTTCCTGGGTTTTACAAGCCTGGATTTGAACCACGATTGGCCATGTGGGATCTGGCTCTCTATATTCTGCACCTAACCACTTTGCTATGTCTGCCCAGTCATAGCTTCTAACACATTCTTGGGGGGAAGGCTTCTCCTCTTTCCTGTTCATTCTTGTTTTTTAAGATCATGTCTCAAAATATACTACTGCTTATAAACCCTTGTCACAGGTGCTTTTTGGTGGGAAAAAATGCTAAGAAAAAATTTTAAATTTGTATTATTTGATTTTAAATACTTTAAAAATTTTGTATGTATATTATACTTAACTTTATATGGCAGACGATATAGACCTTTTATTTATAGTAATGGCAGTTATCTTTAAAGTTTTGCCATAGGTCACGTATACTCACCAGAGAGAAACACAGAGAAAGAGAGAGAGAGAAAGAAAGAGAGAAATCGCCCTCGCAGAAGGCATGACCATGCCACAATCCCTTTTCCTCCAGTCTCATTTCTGGATTTGGGGCATACATACACATGTACCTGGTGATTTCCTCAAGCCACTGGGTCCGGGACTTGAATCACAAAGTCAGCCATGTGAGATCCAGGCCCCTCAACCACCACACCACCTGGCTGACCCAGTAGCAGTTATCTTTTGAAAATAAAGTATGTTAAAGTTAAAATAAATATGAGATCAATAACATTTCAGATGGGACTTGGACTATCACAGCAAAGATTATGAAGGTGTTACCTGACTGTCTGGAGTTTAGGAAGCCCTGCTCTGAAGTATAGGGCTGGAAATCAGCCTAGTGAGTTCTTGTCAAACAGGCCTTTATCCTGTGAGATAGTCGCCAGTTATTTTAAAAGAGAAACTGCATAGGCAACTGGAGATTAAAAACCGAAAGGTTTCTTGCAGTATAGAAAACTAACATGTGGAAAATATTCATTTTTGGATATTCAGTGTCTTCAGTTTTAGGCCACAAATTATTGGAAAGGAGTAGAAAGGCGAGGGAAGATAAGTAAACTATGATGAAAATTTATTATTGTATATTTATTGCCTGTTGTCAGATGATTTTCACAAACAAACAGTAAACTTCCTGTCTAACTTGTAACACACACCCTACGCACATAAATCAAGTATCTCTAATTTTTGAACTCTTTCTTTTATATATCAACGTATATTATGCCTACACACACATGCATATATATATGTATGTTTACATAAAAAATAGGTGCATACCATGTATCCTGTTTTGTACAATTTTTAAAAAGTATTTTCTATCAGAGCATAAAATTTTAGCAAAACTGTATTGAGGTATAATTTTTGTGCCACACATTTCACTCAGTCTTAGTACATAATTTAATGCAGATAGCAGTTTTAAATGTCTGTGATGAACTTCTCTTTTATTATTATTATTGTCTCATACTTATAAAAGTTCCTCAGTAAGAAGAAGATCTGATACAGTGATTTTGGAATGAGAAATAATTACATTTGTACTAACAATATAACTTGAGGGAAACAATTTTTATTCACTAAATATCCCTAGATTTCTTTTCTTTTTTTTCATTAACATTAGCTGCAGTCTTCAAGTCTGCAATTTCTTTCAAAACATGAAAAATTTGACACCAACACTAAGACCATTTGAGGACGGAAATGCATGTTTTAATACAGACGCTATCTCAACAGGAATTTGTGCGGCTGACTGTTTCTGATGTCCTGACCACCTATGTCACAATCCTCATCGGGGACTTTCTCAGGGCATGTTTTGTGAGATTTTGCAATTACTGCTGGTGCTGGGATTTGGAATATGGATATGTAAGTACGATGTTAATGTTTCTCATATTAGGTTTGTGTGTGGGTGTGTGATTCCATGTTTACACAATGCATGTGAGCAGAAGTCAACTCGGCTTTCAGTGGGCATGATCACCTTTTTAGATAAGAGATCAGTAAGTGCAGCTAGAATTTAAAGGAGGTCACACCTGAGTGTGATGATTTATAATATTCTAGTAAATTTAGTACAGGATGGCTAAAGGAATGGACCTTGACTTCTCCATTAAAACATTGACTCCGTAAATCTTGGTCCCAGTTCAACATCCACCCCGTGAAGCTTGCTGACATTTCTTTCTTTTCTTTTCTTTTTTCTTTTTTCTTTTTTCCTTTTGAAGAGGTTTTTGCTATAGGGCGCATGTGTTCGCCAGAAAGACAGAGAGAGACAGAGAGACAGAAAGCAAGAAATCACCCCCTGGGGGGATGGCCATGCCGCAGTCCCTTCTCCTTCATTCTCCTCTCGGGATCTTGGTCACACATGCACATATACCTGGCATGAGTTTAAGCCACCAGGCCGGGGACTCAAACCATGGTCGACTACATGGGAGTCCAGCAACATAGCCATTATGCCAACTTCTGGTCCCAGGCATTTCTAAAGTATGGTAAGATGGCTACCATCAACTGCATATCTGATTAATTCCTTTGAATTCTACCGAACGTCTGAGCAATTACCAGGGGCCAATCAGTGCAGTGGACAAGAGGATAAAAGGACTCAGTAAACATGGTGCTTGTTTCATAAAGTCTAATGAGAGCCTGACGAAGACACAGACACAAGGCTCTGGAAGTGTCAGGGAATGCCCAGTCTGCTGACAGGGTTCTAGTAAGTGATGGAGCTGAATTCTGGCAGGGTGGCTTCTTTTTCTGGAACAATGGCACAGGTTTCCCTGAACTTCAACCCCATGGGTGCTGACCCCATCACCTATGCTCAGCCCCAAGTGCCCAACAAGTCTGAGGGTAGTGGCAGACAGCACATAGTCCTCTGAGGTCTAACCTATCACCAGGCTTCCCTGCTCCTTTTCTGCAAATGAAATTGGCTACAGTTATCTTAAAAAATATAAATTGGGACCAGCAGTTAGCATAATGGCTATGTTGCTGGACTTCCATGTAGTTGACCGCAGTTCGAGTCCCGGACCCAGTGGCTTAAAACTCACGCCGGGAGCATGTGCGTACGTGCCCAAGATCCCGAGAGGAGGATGGAGGAGAAAGGATTGTGGCGTGGCCATCCCCTCTGAGGGGTGATTTCTTGCTTTCTGTCTCTCTGTCTCTCTCTGTCTGTCTGGCGAGCACACTTGCCCTGTAGCGAAAACCTCTCCAAAAACAAAGAAAATATAAACTGGGAAACTGATGGTACTTACTTTCTTAAAATCCCCCAGTGGCTTCTTAATCACTTAGAATACATTTTAAATCTCTTTCTCAGGCCTTCCGTGCCCTCTATAATCTGCCTCTTTTCTTTGTCTCTGAGACCATCTCTACCAACTTTGCTTTTATTTTGTGAAGTCCACAAGCATGAGCTTCTTTTCTATGCTCGGATACAACATGGTCCTTGTATCTGCACTAGGTGTTTTTCTCTCAAGGGCTGCTACTGCCCTAGAACTTCCCATGGAGGATTCCTTCCTGTCTTTAAGGACTCAGCTATTATGTCACCTCCAAAGATGCTGCTCCGACCATTCAATCTAATGTGTTCCATTGGGCACTCTATTTCAACATGCTGTTTTATTTTATCAATGACATACACAACTATTTGAAATTTTCTTTTAAAAATATGCTTATTATTTTCCTCCCTCTGCTAGAGTGAAAGTTTTATGAAAACAGAACTCCTGACCACTAGTCATGTGGCAGGCATTATGTGTCGACCAGCTGATGAACATTGAACCTCCACATTCTCACACCTTCAAGGCAGCACTGTCTATTGACAGAACTGTGAATGTGCCGGTGGGGTCAGTTCTGGCTTAGCGCTTTTGTTGTTGTTTTGATTTTTGTTTTTTGTTTTTTAAGAGGGCATGTTCACTCACTAGAGAAAGACAGAGCAGGGGAGGCATGAGAAAGCACCCCCTCTAGGGCATGGTTACACTGTAATCCCTTCATCTCTTATCTCTTCAACCTTCCAGGATTTGGGGTATACACAAACACACACACACACACACACACACACACACAAACAGCATACTTTTGTTTTTAAGAGGTTTTTGCTATAGGGCATGTGCGCTCGCCAGACAGAGAGTGACAGAGAGACAGAAAGCAAGAAATCATCCCCCAGGGAGGATGGCCACGCCGCAATCCCTTCTCCTCCATTCTCCTCTCAGGATCTTGGGCATGCACGCACACGTGCCCAGTGTGAGTTTAAGCCACTGGGTCCGGGACTCGAACCGTGGTCGGCTACATGGGAGTCCAGTGACATAGCCATCATGGTCCCAACCCCCAGCATACTTTTTATACCACCAGGTCTGAGACTCTGGGACTCTTAACTGCGTGGTCAGCCCTGGTGGATTCAACTGCCTTAACAACCAGGCCAGCTCCCGGCATAGTTCTGTTGAGTCCTTGGTGTCTAAAGCCTCACCAGTGAAGAAATATCCTTTATAGCTTCTCTTCTTCCTATCACGTGCTCTCGAGTCTCTGGACAAGTCTTCCATTCAGGATGATTTTCAAGACTTCAGGCTAGGTCGTCCACCTGACTGTCTGACTTTGAGATGGTGCACTTTATTAGGCCACTGCCATCATCCTCAATGAAAGTGCCTCCCTGGACACGTCATGAGCAGTTAGGTAATGCCCTTCTGCGAATGCCAGTGAGGTAATGCTAGATCCAGTGTGCTTCTGTGTGCTTTGCCATTCCTTGCTATGAGGTATTCAGCTGGCTTGGTTTCATTTCTATTTTCCTTACCTGATTCAGCTCTTCTGAGGCAGACAGAAAAATTGCCTTTTCTTTCTTAGACCATTGCTTTGCTTTTGCTTGCTTTTTATCCCTTGCTGCTTTCTTCTTAAGTGGTAGAAAATTTTATTGCAAATATGAAGTCAATATAACATGTCCTGGATGCATAAAAGCTGTAATGAAATGACTGTAATTTATTATTTATTGAGTGCTGACAGTGCTCTTGAGTTATTACAAAGTCAAGTTCCTGTTTTAGGTCATAGAGCAATAATTTTTTCCCATGTTACCTTTGGAAGGCTCTTTGGAGAAAAGTTCAGAATCAAAACAAGTTTTAAAACATTATTGTTGAATGGTGGATCTTTGATGTAAATCCTATTAGCATTGGCCCACCAAGTGGAAGATTACACAGTTTAGTGATGGTAGATATGAACCATTATGTGTAAACCTCTGTCCTAGGTAATAGGAAACATATTGATATAGAACTGATGTAAACCTGTGGACATCAGAGAGGTTAAGCTTGGGCTTCAGGGGACTAGCAGATGGTGTAGCGATTATGTTGCTGGACTCCCACATAGTTGACTGTGGTTCAAGACTGGACCAACAACTTAATACTCACGCCAGGCACGTGTGCATGAGTGCTCAAAATCCCAAGAGGAGAATGGAGGAGAAGGGCTTTCGGCATGGCCAATCTCCCCAGGGGGTGATTTCTTGCTTTCTGTCTCTCTAGTGAACACATGTGCCCTATAGCAAAAATCTCTCTTAAAAAAAAAAAAAATCTTGGGCTTCGAGATACATTCAATCAACAAATATTTATTTGGTCTATCCAGTATTGCATTAGGTATGTTTGTGTGTGTATGCTAATATTTAAAAACTTAGAGCTCTCATATATACATTTTGGAATGCTGCTCAGCCATAGAAAAAGAGATCCTAGCATTTGACAGTAAGTGGAAAAAAAATGGAAGATAAGTGGACAAAAATGAAAGATTTTCTGCTAAGTGAAGCAAACCAGGCTATCAAAGAGAGAGATTGTATGTCCCTACTTAATATATACCAAATGCCTGCTCTCCATGGTAGAAACAAAGATTCAAAGATATAAAAGCATGGAGAATAATGGTGGATACTAGAGATCATGTGGGAGGAGGGTAGGAAATGAAGGAGGGTAAGCGAAAGGGAATCAAGGAGAAAAAGAAAGAAGCAAAATATTTAAAGGGCACAAATATGGAAAATTCTCTGTTGATAACATGTATAATAATATCTTTAACTAGATCAATATACAGTGTATTTATGCTGGGAAAACTCATTTTGCATGCTGTAATGATATAAAGTAATTGAATGTATAAATTAATGAATAAACTATGAAAGAAAAACACTGAGCATAAAATGTTTGGTTTTCTTGCCTTTCTGATATGATGGAAAACCTTGCAATGTCAGACCCATATTCCTACAAGGAAGAAATTGACAAGAGTTGAGAAACCACTGCCCTCTGTAGTTGGGATATTTATTCTTAAGTTCCTCAAACTCTTCACTACTTTCACTTCGTAAGTTCCCAATATCAATAAAAGCACAAAAGGTAAATGCCATAACAAAAATCAGTTGCAGTGGGACTTTGGGAGAAAAGGAGAGAGGGCGAGGGGTGCTTTAGTAGGAATGCAAGGACATTATGGAGGTGGCATTTTAATGGATTCTTAAATGAGGATCGGGATTTCAGGATTTTGGTGGGGGCTAAGTGTAAGTCAGTGCCTCCAGACAGGCGGTACATGCATAAATGTAAAAACCTGAAATGAAGCTGTTTTGGAGGAGAAGATAATGAAAATTGTTTTTGTTTGGCTATTCTCCTAGACTTGCTAGTTGATAATAAAGGTCTAAAAAGTACCTATCATGAAGGGAAGGAGAACCTAAGATTAGCAGAGGAGATACCTGAGAATTCTTTCAGAAATGAAAGAGAAAAATGTGGCATTTTTGCCACTACAGATACCAAAAGAAAAAAAAAAAAAGACATTGTTTCTTTTTTTTTGCTGTTCAAAAATAATGCCAATTTTTGGTAGGAAATTTGAAAAGTATAGTACAGCTAAATACGAAAGTAAAAATCACAGGTAATCCCACCATAAAGATGAACCTTTTT